TATGTTGTTGCTGCTACTGTCCGTGTCTCTTTTTCCACTGACAGATATTGCCTCATTGCTGCTACCGCTTGTGGCTGCCACTCTGTCAATGCTGCTATGACACCTCTGTGTTACTCTTGGCTCATCACAAGATAGTGCTGGCTGCATGGCTCGACTCTCTTACTCATCTATTCTCATCATTTCATTAATTTTAATTTATTGTATTTTGCACATCTTATTTTAGAATAAAATGATGACACTGATTACCAAATATAAGGCTGTGTAAAACATGATTTTAAGGAGGTGTGTTGAGGGCAGTCATTCATACAAACACCTGAGTGGCTCTCCTAGCAGCAGCAGAGTCTGTCTCTCTACTGTTGTCACTTCTCATTTTCTCTGTGTATAGCTATGGTGACATTTCTCCCACAGTATATTAAGTAACATTTTTTTAAACTCCTTTCAAGCTATCTTGAACAAACTTACAATTAAATATGCAGAAATAAATAATTATTTCCACACTCCATGTACAGGTTAGGCAGGACCACAATGAGGGGTGATCCCATGGAAATGCCAAAGAATTACTTGTACATATTTGCTAAGCAAACAGCAATTAAAACCAATATTGTCGATAATGTCTATGAAATCCGAAGCTGGAAGAGGAAGGTGCAGTTCATCAGTGACCTTTTTGCTCAGCAGAGATATGACCAGTTTAGTAAGAACCCTAGGTAACAAGGATGTGAAGTTAGGACTGATGAGTTTCTTGTTCGTCAAGTGGATCGTCTGGAAGAATTTGCGTTATTATTTTGGCTGACGCTATGGACAGCAAAAAAGTTATTAGGGTTAATTTGGGAGGTTGTACGTATTTCCAGTCCGCTAAGCTTACTAGAAGTGTAACTTACATCATGCGTTCATTTTCCTGGGAAAGGTTCAGCAGACTTTCTAACAAGGACTTCAGAAGGTTGTCATAATCCTGGTAAGCATTGGAAAGGATACGCATCTGGCGAGTAGGTGGAAGGAGTCGTGTGCGTCAGTGTCTCCAATTTGACCTTCCATCATCTTGAGGCTAGATATTTTCCCCTAGAATCAGAACAGTATCATTGAAACTAAGAAGAGCATCAAGGAAAACACTGTTCCCCAAATCAATGACTCTTGCTCCTAGCAAAGCAGCACTAATAACCTCAATGCTCTGACAGTAAGGAAAAAGGGAGAGATGAAGATGAAAGAGCAAGGGAAGCAAAAAAGGGATTGATTCAACAACAACTAAATGATTCACTGTCTTGTTACACTAGGAGACACATTGTTCTATGCAAAGTGGTTTATTCAAGCTGTTGCTTAAACAATACCACTACCAATTATACTTTATTACCTAAAAGTCTATATCACCTTAAGTACATTACTTGAACTTCATCACCTAAAATACATCACTTAAAATACATCACCTAAATTTTATAACCTGAGCTACATCTAAACTACATCAAATAAACTGCATCGCTCAAACTACTTCACCAAAAATCCATCTTCAACAACTTTACCATGCTTTATTATGCTTTATCTTTAATATGTTTTAACCTTACTATGTTTTTACTTTACTATGTTTAAACGTTACTAAGCTTTAACTTTACTATGCTTGAGCTTTACTATACTTCAACTTTACTAAGCTTTAACTTTATTATGTTTTAACTTCACTATACTTTAAATTTAATATACTTCAGCTTTACTATACTTGAGCTTTACTACGCTTCAGCGTTACCAAACTTTACCTTGGTCATGCTTCAGCTTTATCATGCTTTCTCTTTACTATGTTTTAACTTTACTATGCTTTTACTTTACAATGTTTTAACGTTACTAAGCTTTAACTTTACTTTGCTTTAACTTTACTATGCTTGAACTTTCCTAAGCTTTAACTTTAATATATTTCAACTTTACTATGCTTCAGCGTTACCATGCTTTACCTTGGTCATGCTTCAGCTTTATCATGCTTTAACTTTACCATGCTTCAGCTTTATCATGCTTCAACTTTACCATGCTTCAGCTTTGCCATATCTCAGCTTTATCATGCTTCAACTTTACCAAGCTTCAGCTTTACTATGCTTCAGCTTTACCGTACTTGTACTTTAGTCTTGCAGAGCGCCTTTATCATACGAAGTTTGACTAAGAATAAAGCTTTATCAAGCTTTTCATCAAGCCTACTGTGGGCGATAAAGTCCCATTGTCAGTGAATAAATCCCCACTGTGGGTGATAGAGCCCACTGTGGGTGAAAAATCCTCGATGTGGCTGATGCAATCCCATACTGTGGACGATAAAGTTCCACTGTGAGTGACAAAGCGACACTTGTGAGTTATAAAGCCTCATTTGTGGGTGATAAAGCCGTAATGGGGGTGACAAAATTCCTATTCTTTCGACACTCCCTTTTCACTGGATAATAAAGTCCTACTGTGGGTAATTAAATTCCTCTTTGGGTAATAAAGCTTCACTGTGGGTGATAAAGCCTCACTGTGGGTGAGGCTTTATCATGCAGGTTTCTGGGAAATGACCTGACCTTGCGAGCCAGCTCTAACCTAAAAAATGAAGGTTAGTCCTCAAAGTGAAACCCCGATCGTGAAACCGGACCAACACAGACGTGATCTGGACACATTGAAACTTCTCAAATCCTGCGATAATATGAAGTCTTGATTTCCCTCTTGGCAACCCGGTCTTGATCTCCGAGAGTTCTTAACTTTACCATCTTGTTTGGTTTCCCTCGTCGGCCACGATATTGGCTTCCCCAAAGAATCTTTTATTGAATGTTATGTGTATTTTCCTCTAAAAGGATTTTATAAATCTCGAGTAGAACGGGAGCTGTCTGTGAATCTTTGAGTCACCAGATACAGTAATGTGTGAGCAGCTTCCGTGGTACAGTAATGTGTGACCAGCTTCCGTGGTACAGTAATGTGTGATCAGCTTCCGTGGTACAGTAATGTGTGATCAGCTTCCGTGGTACAGTAATGTGTGATCAGCTTCCGTGGTACAGTAATGTGTGATCAGCTTCCGTGGTACAGTAATGTGTGATCAGCTTCCGTGGTACAGTAATGTGTGACCAGCTTCCGTGGTACAGTAATGTGTGACCAGCTTCCGTGGTACAGTAATGTGTGATCAGCTTCCGTGGTACAGTAATGTGTGATCAGCTTCCGTGGTACAGTAATGTGTGATCAGCTTCCGTGGTACAGTAATGTGTGATCAGCTTCCGTGGTACAGTAATGTGTGATCAGCTTCCGTGGTACAGTAATGTGTGATCAGCTTCCGTGGTACAGTAATGTGTGACCAGCTTCCGTGGTACAGTAATGTGTGATCAGCTTCCGTGGTACAGTAATGTGTGACCAGCTTCAGGGGTACAGTAATGTGTGACCAGCTTCGGTGGTACAGTAATGTGTGACCAGCATCGGTGGTACAGTAATGTGCGACCAGCTTCGGTGGTACAGTAATGTGTGACCAGCTTCGGTGGTACAGTAATGTGTGACCAGCTTCGGTGACACAGTGATGTGTGACCAGCTTCGGTGATACAGTAATGTGTGACCAGTTTCGGTGACACAGTAATGTGTGACCAGCTTCAGGGGTACAGTAATGTGTGACCAGCTTCGGTGGTACAGTAATGTGTGACCAGCTTCGGTGGTACAGTAATGTGTGACCAGCTTCGGTGGTACAGTAATGTGTGACCAGCTTCAGTGACACAGTAATGTGTGACCAGCTTCAGTGGTACAGTAATGTGTGACCAGCTTCGGTGCTACAATAATGTGTGACCAGCTTCGGTGGTTCAGTAATGTGTGACCAGCTTCGGTGGTACAGTAATGTGTGACCAGCTTCGGTGGTACAGTAATGTGTGACCAGCTTGGGTGGTATAGTAATGTGTGACCAGCAGGGATGTTACAGTAATATATAGCCAGCTGGCATGATACATTAATGTGTGACCAGCTGACTGATGCAGCAGTCATGTTATGACCAGCTGGCTGATGCAGTAGTCATGTTATGACCAGCTGTGGTAACAGTAATTATGTGTGACCATCTGAGGTGATACAGTAGTTATATGTGACCAGCTGGGGTGATACAGTAGTTATATGTGACCAGCTGGGGTGATACAGTAGTTATATGTGACCAGCTGGGGTGATACAGTAGTTATATGTGACCAGCTGGGGTGATACAGTAGTTATATGTGACCAGCTGGGGTGATACAGTAGTTATATGTGACCAGCTGGGGTGATACAGTAGTTATATGTGACCAGCTGGGGTGATAGCGTGTGCGTGGGGGGGGACAGAAATTTAGAAATTAAAACTGAATATTTACGTGGCCAGACAGATGATCGACGGACACTTGGCCGGTACACATTTGACCGAAGGACAACTGGCCGAACGGACATTGCGCCGGCAGCCTTTTGGTCGAACAGACAATAGACAGAACGGATAATTAGGTTAAGTTTGGTGATGAATGCAGTTCGTCCATATATCCATTCAGCGAAGTGTCCGTCGGCTAAATATTCGGGAGCCGAATATTTGTACCCTCAACTGGCGTCATATGGACCCTTAACCGACGTCTTTTTCCTGCTGTCAAGGGTTCCCATCGTTTCCGCTAAATCGATGTTAGATATTCTTTCTTCTATGTTAGTGCCCAATTCTTCAACTCTTGCTCTGCTTGTTGTGATAGCTACTGAAGCAAAAGTTTAATGTTGGAGAATCGCCTTATTGTCCCATTGAAGTCATCCTTTGGAACAAACTACACACGTGTCTTCCCGAGACTCAGATTCTCCAGTCCTTTCACAGGCATTTTCGTTGTTATGTTCTTGATATTAGCAAATGTTCATTCTATTAGTAACTAAAGCTACAATACGACTCAAAACTTTGATATTAAATCGCTGTGGATGCGAACTCTGCAATTCGAGTAGAAATTAGCAGAGCAGAATGGGTCATAGCAACACTGGAGGCAATAGGAAATACCAGCAGGAGAGAAATAATGTAGAAGAGTACGCAGGAGTTGGTGAGCAGTAGGATCATGGGCTCTGCAGTGCTGGCGAAGCTAAGCGAAGCATCAAGGAAGGACCAATCATCCCACCTTCCATTAGTTGATCCTCAGGAGCACGACTCACGAGGTGAGCTAATCTGCTCGGCTACCTAATTATGCATACAGGTAAGTTCCAGGGTAATTCCCAAGTTCACCTTTGATCATCTTGTTGACAATCTGACAGCCTTTGACAGTTATTCCACGCCCTCCCCCTCCACCTCCCTTCCTTCCACCTCCCTCTCTCACGCACACACACACAACAAACATAAATACAAACCCAGAGACCCCCAACACACACACACACACACACACACACACACACACACACACACACACACACAACACACACACACACACACACTCACACACACACACACACACACACTGTGTGTGCCACTAACCACAATTTTAACACATCCCCTGAAACTGGGCAACTACCTGAGGTAGTTGTGGGTTTTAATCAACATTTAAGGGAGTGTGGCCGACCTAGGTGACAACTATTTAATCAGTTCTTTATTACCTCTCAGTAAGGTTCTAGGTTGTAGATGAATGGTTCAGAGAACCGACAAGTTGATAAATTAGATACATGTGCAACACTTGAGTATCTTTAATGAGGAAATTTTTCGCCACACAGTAGCTTCATTAGTCCATACAAAGGAGAATGGTAAAGAACAAGAGTTTGAGGTAATCAGTCCCTCAGCCTTGAGTCGAGGTAATCAGTCCATCAATCTTGAAAAGAATACAGCATATGCACGAAGAAGTTGCTTATGTATTGCAGACAGGAGAGATGCAGCAGTCGTAGGTGGTGTCACATTGGGATTTCGTGAGGTTATTAATATAATATCAGTGTTTATGGGCTGGCTGTCTTCTAATGCTACAATATTCAGTCTTTCCGGCATGAGGCACTAGGCACTGGTGATTGGTATGTCTGAGACACTTATCGCCTGCTGCCTCCCTCCACCCTCATTCCAGCAAAGACACTTGGAATTTCTTCATTTTCTACAACAATGCAAGCTCCTGGTGAGGTGTTGATTATATCACGAAAGGCCTAGAGCTGTCATTCAACTCCCCAGTAGATGTTCTGCAATATATATAATATATATATATATATATATATATATATATATATATATATATATATATATATATTATTATATATATATATATATATATATATATATATATATATATATATATATATATATATATATATATATATATATATATATATATATATGTCGTGCCGAATAGGCAGAACTTGCGATCTTGGTTTAAATAGCAACGCTCATCTTGCCATATAGGACAAATGAAAATTTGTGTATGCAATAATTTCGTCAAATTTATTCTGAACCTAACGAAAAAAAATATATTTCATTGTGTTTGTTTAGTATTAAATTATTGTAAACAAATCTAAAGTATATTTAGTTGGGTTAAGCTAAAATAAATTGCACTGGTTATAATAAGATTAGGTAAGTTTTCTAAGATTCTTTTGGTTCAAAATTAAAAAATTTTACATTAACATTAATGAAAAAATATATCTTTAAACGTACAAGAGAAAAGTTTAGAAAGGACTTAATTTTAAATGAGCTCTTGCTAACTGACCAGTTTTACATATTCGGCACGACACACACACATATATATATATTATATATATATATATATATATATATATATATATATATATATATATATATATATATATATATATCTGGCACCTCTGCCAGAGAGAGGCTATGGGCATCCTGCTATGTAATTTTGGCACAATATCGTCCAATCAAGAACACCTACCAGGATTATCATCAACAGGCTGGTGTGTGAATATCTGCTGCTCGTGTTGGAAAGAGCCAGAAGACTCTGCATTTCTTCTCTTCCTTCAGAATCAAGAAAAGTGTTGTGTATGTGAATTCAGTGAGGGAACATAGCGGTCACCATGGGTAGGAGAGGTCGGTGAGGGGAGTCCTCATGGAGGAGGAGGAGGAGGCGGAGGTTGAGGGGTAAAATTGTCCCCCCCTTCCCCAAGCAGGCGCGCATACACCGTGTGCTCGTGTTACAACAATGGAGTGTTTGTTCACCGTGTGTATAGTGTATATAGTCTATAGTGTACAGTGCGTAATATGTGCATGGTATGCGCATAGCATGTGTAGTGTACAGCGGTGTGTCGTTGATAGTGGGGGCAGTGCACTGAGCATAGTGGTGTATAGTAACATGTGCACAGAGTATTGTGGTGTATAGTGACTTGTCCTGGGAGGGAGTGCCCTACTCCACCTCATCACACATCTTCCACTCCCTTTCTTCCGCCGCCCACCACAAGGACGGGAGACCCCTCTCCTACCCCCCACCAACACCATGAACCACATGCGGTATGTGCCATGCGCCATTTTCCCTTCAGCCTGGGCTTACCACACAGTTTGAGGTATGGCAGATGATGAAGTCAGCCAGCCACAAAGCCAGGGGAAACAGTGCATCCAACAATGAAAGAAGAGGCACATGTCAGGTGTGTGGAGAGTTTCGAGCACGCAACAATGATGGCCGCATTCATGCACACCATGGGTGTGAGGGATCACATATGCCCCCAGCAGAGAGCAGCCCACAGCCTCAAAAGGCAGATGACAATTCCAATGGCAACCTCGTCACTTGCGATAACCTTCTGTTGGCATTCAATCCACTGCTAGCAGTACCCTATCCCACATCCCTAAAGCGGCTCGCCCATATGCAGCAGGGAAATTCACAGACCTTCTTAAGCGGGTGAATGGAGGTTCCACCAACTTAGAAGCCCGAGGCACCATCCAAGCATGGCGCAACCTACTCTTGTTCGGCAATGTCTGTCTTGCAGTTCCTGAAAGACGAGGCAAACTGCTAACCACGTCAGTTATCAAGGCAGTGCGCAACTACCCAAGATAATTGTGTCCCTCTGCCCCATCATCGCAGGAATCAAAGAGGTAGACCCAAGAAAATCCCACTGAAAACGAGAAAATTTGCGCACAGGTTAGCAAAAAAATCGAAGAAGGTAACACAGTGGGAGCAATAAGAATACTGTAATTACAAGTGACGACACTGTAGCCCCCAAAGATGAGACCACGGCCCAAGCACTAAGAGACAAGCATCCAACCAGGGACACCATAGCCATCAACGACAACTCTGAGGAAGACCCCATCACTGAACAATTAATTTTGCCAGAATCGGGAGTCTATAAGGTGATCGTGTCATTTCCAGCAGGATCTGCAGGAGGTTACACTGGAATTCGACCTCAGCACCTCAAAGAGATGGTAAATCCAGTACTAGGTGAATCTGCATCAATTCTTCTCACCGATTTAACAACTTTCGTCAACAATTGTCTTGCTGGGCAAATCCCAGAAGAAATTAAACCATTCTTTTTTGGAGCCTTACTATGTGCTTTGAAGAAGAGGGATGGGGGAATCAGACATATTGCAGTTGGAAACACTCTTCGCCGTCTCGTTGTCAAAGCAGCAATAAGAAACATTCGCCTAGAAGCTGCCACTTTACTCCAGCCTCACCAACTGGGCTTTGGGGTCTCTCAAGGCAGTGAAGCCACAGCTCATGCCGCAAGGGCCTACATCAGGGACCTACCAGAAGACAAGGCCATAGTCAAACTTGATTTTAGAAATGCTTTTAATATGGTGAAGAGAGATGCTGTCTTGCCAGCTGTTCGGGATCCCTTCATTTCAGCTGGCTACAGCAAACCCTCAATTCTTTTGTTTGGAGAACATGAAATTCAATCATCAGAGGGTGTTCAGCAGGGTGACCCACTCGCTCCACTTCTCTTCTGCTTGGCAGTAAGAGAACTAACTTCCAGCCTATGCAGAGAGCTCAATATCTGGTACCTGGATGACGGCACTCTGGCAGGTACTGAAGAGTCCCTGGTGGGGGACCTACAACTGGTGAAAACAACACAGGGAGAAGACTTGGGACTCATCCTCAATCCCTCCAAGTGTGAAATCATCACAGTGAACCAGGAAATAATCAATGGTGTATGAAGAATCCTCCTGGAAGTCTCTACTACCACTCCATCCAAAAGTACCCTCTTGGGAGCACCGCTGGGTCACCAGGCCATCGACACTGTCCTCAGGGGCAAATTGAATGACCTGATGAGAATGGAGGAGAGAATAAGCGATCTTGATGCCCATGATGCTCTGTATCTCCTCACAAGGTGTCTTACTATGCCAAGACTCACTCTTTTGACAACCCAACACTCGATGAATATGACGCACACCTGAGATCAACTTTTAAGAAGGCACTGAACCTGTCACTAGAGGATGAGCAATGGGATCAGGCAACCCTACCAGTGTGACTGGGAGGTATAGGGGTGCGCAAAGCAACGCATGTTGCTTTACCTGCTTTTCTGTCTTCGTGTTTGGCGTGTATTGTTCCAGTGCATTAGTCAAGAAGATAGTTCCTGAATGCTTGAGAGACGTGGTAGGAGCTCAAGACCCAGGTTTACTGAAGCAGCGATTGGGTGGGACACCCTTACAGACTCCTCCAGTAGACCAGCTCCTCCCAAAGACCACAAACAGTCCTACTGGGACAAACCGATCATGGAAAAAATCGCCAACACAATGCTCTCCAATGCTTCAGGAAAGGACAAAGCTCGTCTCCTGGCAGTGAGGGCACCACACTCAGGAGATTTCCTGTTGGCTGTTCCCAATTCCTCCCTGGGCACCCGTCTTGACCCACAGGCCATTCGGATTGGTGTTGCTCTTCGCCTAGCCGCCCCCATCCTCACCAAACATAGGTGTATTTGCGACAGGGCGACAGCTGATCAATTCGGACTTCATGGTCTCGTGTGTCACACAGCAGAAGGAAAGTATGCCAGACATGAGGAGGTCAATGACATTATAAAGAGAAGCCTCGCCACAGCCCGTTGCCCAGCTCAACGGGAACCCCAAGTACAGAGGTCTGATGGAAGTCAAAAGTGTCCTGATGGAGCCACTATGCTACCCTGGAAGGATGGAAAGCAGATTGCCTGGGACTACACCTGTGCCGCCACATTGGCAGACACCTACTTGCCATACTTTGTAGTGGAAGGGGGTGGAGATGCCAGCCACAGGGAGACCCAGAAGATCCGAAAAT